CGGGAGCAGCCGCGTCCGCTCTCGTCTCACCGTGGGACCCGGCCCGGCCTACTCAGTTTGGCCATCGTCTGTGCTTTTACCTTAACTCTTCTCGCGTGGGTTCAATGAAAGGAGCAGAACACCCCGCCGAGGATCACAGAAAGTCAATGAAAAAACATTCGTTTACTGCGGGTTCTGTGAAGAAGCTTTTTATTCCCAGCTCGTCAGCGCACAAAGCGAATGCCCGACGGAGCCGCAGCGGCACTTTTTCCTGGGGGGGGGGATCTGAGGGCAGAGGCACATCCAACGTTAGGAAGCCCAGCCAGGACAGTGTTTTCCTGCTGTTTCGTGCTGGGGTTTGCAATAGGTTTATTTCTTGTCAAGCTCTCTGCATGTATTTGCATCGCTGTTCTGTTCCATGCCATCACCCTTTCTTTCAGGACACAAAAGTAACACTGATGCATTCATTATATGTCTTCAAGGACAAAAAAGTAGAGTTTAGAACAGAGATTTTTTTTTTTTATTATTTTTTTTTTCCCCCTGCTGGCAGGCAGAGTCAAGGACCTATGGAGATTATGTTGTATAAGGGAATTGGGGAGTCATGTCCTCCACGCTGAATGTACCGATTCAAAAGTGAAACAATAAATACGTTGAAGTGCGTGTTACGGTAATTGTAACTGTAGCAGACTACCCGTGCGTGCAGCATCAATAATGTTACATCCCATGACGTCAACCACCAGTAGCCACAAAAAGACACGCACTGTACATTTGTTTGGCAGGGGGAAGCTCAGAAGTAAATGTTTCCTTTCCAGGCTGTTATTGTGGAGCTAGCTAATGTTAACATTTATATAAGACAGCAACACGAGATGACGATTTGGCAGCAAATTGGACAGCAAAGAAACGTAAAACAAATAAATCCAGCGCGCCAGGCTCTGTGAGTGAATGGGGAATGAAACGGAGAAGTACAGGAAACGTAAAGGACGTCTTCAAGAAACCAGATTCTCAGACCAAACCCTGACCTATTTAGAAAGTGCATTGTGGTTCTGACCTGTGGGATGTCATCAGAGGGTGTTTCAGTGCTCTTGTTTTCCAACAGATCACAAGATTTCAGCCGCTCAGAATGTGGCCACGGAGACACCAGTCCTCTAAAAAAGCTGATGTTGAGCTTAATAGGGGTAGAAAAAACGCCAGTAAGGTAACAAATGAGGGTTTCTGGAAATAATACATGCCAAGAGGCTTTCTCGTGAAAAATACTGTTTTCCTTTATTAATCTGATTCAGTAGCACGCCCAGGAAGACGCATATTAACGGTGGGGCCTGCGAGCTCTTGCAGAAACAATTACAGGTAACGCAACAAGTACTAAGAGACGACTGTTCAAGTTAAGGTTGTTACTCCGCGTGCGTGCAGCACGGTGTCGGTACGTGTAGCCGTGCTGGAGTCTCAACGTGAACAATTTCTCGCTCCGTGGTTCGCTGTTTCTTAGGCTGTCACATGGTGAGTTTTATCTTGAAGTCGCCGTTACCAGCTGCAGCGGTAACCTTATCCAAAGGGGCTGTAAAAATACACACACGCTGCATTTCAGGAGGTGTCTGCGAAGGACGATAGCCTTCATCACCTCGGTGAAGCGCACATTTGGGTTTTCCTGTAAGAGGCAGGGGTGAGGCTGCCTAACGCGCGCATTACGTGGGGAGGAGACCTTGTTTTGTTCGGGGTGAGCCCAGTGTGCCTGGACTGGAGGAGGAAGTTTTCAGCTGACAGAGAAGAAAGTTGCCCAACGAGGAGAGTGCAAAGAATGAGGAAGCAGGTTGGTCCCAGCGCTCCATGGGGACCTTCCCTTCACCAGCCTTGATTACTGCAACAAACTTAGGGTTTGGGTTTTTTTTTGGAAAAGAAAGAAGTAGCTACCTTAAGCATGCAAAGCAAAGCTTGCCATTTAATAAGCACTGTCTCTACTGCCACAAACAACATCCTCCTGCTGTTGTAATTTATTGCAGAACAAGGTGTGTTAGTGATTCAGCCTGCTGTGGGCACTCCTTAAGCAGCTGGCAAATACCTGCTTCATCTGTTGTAAAAACCAGAAGCATAAACCAGTTCCATCTCCCTTTCCGTCTGCTCTGCTCTCTGTCAGCTTTTCTCTTTCCAAGCTTTCTCTCCAACTACACTACACTGTACTTGAGCATAACACAGCAAAAGTTCGGAAAAGCCAAAGACCACACACACCGTTAAGAATTACAAAACCACTTTTAATATGTATTCTTCCCAGAAGCTTGGAGAGCTTTTGTATGACAGTCTTATTAAATGCAATTTAGAAACAAAATGCAATTTAGAAACAAAAATTGTGATACCGACCTTGAATGTAAACAAATAAATGAAGCCAGTTTAGAGCCCAAACCCCAAAAACTTAGGAAGCAAGCTCATTATTCACAGCAACACGTTGACACCTGAAGAGACATGGGGCCATAGCCATCTCTGTCCTTGGCTCCCAACCAGTGAGACGTGCCAACGTGAAATAAGGGGTGCGGAGCACCTTGTAATAAGCAACGCAAGGTTCATACGCTTGGCCCCTGGATGAGATCTGCCTGCCAAAAGCAGGCGAGGCGGCAACACCACGGGGCTGGGGAGGCCTGAAGAGCCAGCTCTGGAGGAGCAAGTAGCTCTGGAGATCCAGAGGCAGGAGGACAAGGAGACACCATCAGGCTCCCCCTTGCCTCGTGCTCTGGGTTGCGCCCAGCCTATCATCCCCTCAGTAGCTGGGGCAAGCCAGCTGACCCTTCAAGCCATGCCCCAAAAAAATCTTTCCACCCTAAACTCCACCAAAACGGTGCCCTGCCATGTCAAGCACAACACAGGACAAACACAACTTTCAGCCTCCACACCCAGCAAGCCCCGCTGGCTGCCCCCAGCCCAGTTTATGGTTAAGGCTAGAATCAATCTTTGGGGTAAAAAGGGGCTGAAAGTCTAGGATTATTCCTGAATAACATGAAGATTGCAGAGGCATGATAAAATCTGGTACCCAGTTCTTGTTATTCTGGGGCCGGGCTGCAAAGGCACTTGTGCTAAACAAATCAGGCAGCTTCCCGTGAGGTCTGGAGGGACGATAAATGCACTTAACCTTAAGTTTGGGGTGAATGATTGCCACAGGTGGACAGCAAAGGCTAGAGAAACCGTCAGAAATTGAGAGTAGAGCTTAGGACTGAGGAACAAGAATGACAGGAAGATGATACAGTCCCCTAGAGCTGCAATACATGCTTGTGCCTGTGGCTTATAATTAGCTATCAGCCAGGTATGGCTCACTGTTGTACTGGCCAGTATAGGCTCAGGATCGCAATGGTGCTTGGGTCATGGTGCTAAGCACAGGTCACATTTGTCAAGGCCGTTGCTAGGGGTTAAGTGGGGGAATTTTTCTGTGGTTAAGGTTACTGTTAGAGACCAAAAGAGCAGGGTCTATGAGATTCATTTCACCGTGCATGCTCTACAGAATACATCTATAGGCACATCATCTTCTGATCTCCCAAAAGTCAACCTTTGCCATACAACGTCCTTCACCCACAAGTCTATTATCATCTAGTCTAGCCATCCCCAGATCTTCAGCAAGGCTCATGGTGGGCTGAGGGCTGGTATCAGGGCAGAAAAACTCGTTCATCAGTGGCTCTAGGACACTGGGCTATGATTAGAGGATAAGGGTGTTAGCAAGCAACCTGTTCTTATCAAGGACATGACTACCAGCTCTCTCAGCAGCAGAGAAGAGGGGGTGGGAGAAGAAAGCACTCATCATTGCTCAATAAAAGCATCCACAGCCCATGCCTGGCCTCATGCATCTCCCAAAGCACATGCCATACGCTGTAGGTGGCATACAGGGAGGATAAAGAAGGGGGAGCAGGGCAGGGAGGTTGCTGGAAAGGAGAAAGGGAAATTTTCTGGGACTTTTGTCACTTCTGGCTACTGACCGAAACACATACATGTACACACAAATATGCCTGCTTGCCTCTTGGGAGCAGGGGGAGAACTCACACCCATCAGTCAGAGGATGGCGGCTCTCACCTGGCAGGGCATGGCTGGTTAAACAAATACCAGAGATGATACTCAGCAGACAAAGAGATGGTCCAGGAGCAATCGAGACTAGGGAGAATCAGAAAGAAAAATCAGACAGTAATGGACATTGTCAGAATAACATTAGAATTATCAGATAAATTTTTGGGAAAACATGGGGGGAGAGGTAGTTCCCCCACGTTCAGTCATTTCTTCAGTGTATTTATTTTTGTACATCTTGGAAAAACAGTCATTTTTTAAAAATTATTTATTTATTTTCACATTCAAGAGGCTTAAGGCTGCCAAAAAGCAAAGCTCTGGACTAAAAAAGCATTCCAGTTCCCTGCATGAAACGGCCCGAAGTATACCCAGAATTGGCAATATGATCTTTGCATCTGCAGAGAAAATACTGAGTCATGTTGTCAGCCCACACACATCTAACAAAAATAAAAGCAGCCCAACAATTCAAGATTCACCCACTCGTCATTTAAAGAAAACACAAGTCATTCAGTCATGCCACATGCTTCAGAGACCTTTAGAAAACACCCAGCGCAGGGAACATTCGCCCACGCTGTGCCCACGCGCCCTTTCGAACCGGCGATGTCATTTGCAACTCGTTCACTCGCGGGTCTGGACGGTGTTTGGTTCAGCGTCCTCGGAGGAAGTCGCCGAGACTTAGAGGTTTCTGCCGAAAACGTGACGTGATAGCTGCAGCCTCAGCCCTTCTGTTAGCAATGCCGAAATGGTGCAACATAGCGTACCCGGCTTGAATCCCTGGAGGAGGCAGGAAAGCATCCTGTGCTTCATTGCATAAAAGATCTGGCAAACTTAAGCCATAGTTTTTATAAGATGCTACTGTACTCTTCCTTCAAGGGTTAATCCTGTAGTGAAGCATTAGCTCTCCCCGCGCTGGGCTCCCCAGTTACTTGGCACACATTAGACCAAGAGGTATTTGCACAAAGATCAAGATTTGGGGAATTACCCAGGAAATCCTCCTCCTTTTACCCCTTCCCACATCATGGTCCCCTCACAAGAAAAAGTGGGTTCCTTCATTTCACCCAGCTGCAGGCAATCTCTCTTCTTCCTTCAGTGCTAAAAGCTGCTTGAAGTATTAACAGCTGAACCTGGATGTGCGACAGCCAGCCCAGCTCACGGTGGACGTCACCGCATGGAGGACACAGAGTTACACAATCTCTGTGGTGCTGAAAGCAGAGCTGGAAACTTGACAGGAGCCCAAAGGCCAGAGCTAATTTGTATTTTCTTTTACACAGCATGATTTTAATCAGAGCAAAAAATGCCCGGTACTGTTTTATGTACAGAGCATTATAAGTAGAGGCAAGTTAACAGAGCAATGAGGGGCAGGACGTGCTCCGAGGGCAGCACGGGGAGGAACATTAGACAGGGAAAGGAACAGCAGGCAAGTCTCCTACAGCCAATTTATCTGCATTTCCTTGATTCTTCAGGAAGGCCACGTGCTATGAAGCAAGCAGCTAAGAGGCAACTTCATCAAAATGCTGTGATTGCCTAATTCTCTGTGTAAGGAGGAAGAAGGAAAAAAAAAAAAAGAAGAAAAGAGATGTGCAAAAAGCTTAAGGACAAGCTTATTTGAAAAAGCTCTTCCCAGAGGTTCTGGATGTGTGACCAAGTAAAGCATGGCATTCAGGAAACCCATCTCACTTGAGGCCAATATTTGACAGCAGTAGAGTCCGGGTGACCTCTAACATAAGCTCCTCTGGCTTCAGCTGCACACAGGTATGTGCGAGTTCCCCTTTACAACCAATTTTCTGCCTCGCTGAGAGCAGACAGCAGAGAGGGCCGGCACAGCCCCCGAGCACCTCTGTTCCCAACGCAGGCTCCCCTCCAGCACCCCCTTCCCATGCTATGATGGCCAGAGAGCAGGTGTTGGGAGCCGGGTCCTCATTCGGTCCCCTCTCCCCATCCAGGCTTGCAGCTGTGCCCCCTTCCCGGGACGCAGAGTCGGGGTGCACCCTTGCGTGCCGCCAACATGAGCCAGGGAGGGAGCAGGAGCAGCAGGTTAACAGGAGAGTAAATATACCTTGACATTTCTTGATTTGTTTGCTTTGTAGTTCTAGTAGGTTTACTGGAAACTCAGAGGTGGGGTTTGCCACCTGGGGAGTGCTATCACTGGAGAAAATCCTTAATTTCAGCCTTCCTCTCTTTACCCACTGGGAATAAATGCTCCTTTCCCCATCATTTCAGCTGCATTCCTTAGAAGCTGGGAAAAAGAAAGAAAAAACAAAGAAAAAAAAATCAAACCTGGGACCTTTACTTTGCCCTGGACTGCAATTTAGATGTGTTGTTCGATGTCTAGTTCGGGATGGGATGAGCTGCATGTTAGGAATATAAAAGGAAAGCAGTCAGACCAGCTCAGCTGGAGCTTCCTACATTCAGTCTGATAAATCCTACCCCCGGAGCTTTATCCCACCAGCTAGCCCTTTCCCACTGTAGCCCCCGAAAGCAGCACCCTCTCTGCTCTCATCCCTCCTCCACATGCTCCTTCCCCCCCCACCCCCATGCACATTGCCCCCCCCAGCCTCAAACAGCTCCCCAAGGAGCTCGGGCACCACCGATGCTCGGGGATGGGGAGAAGGGAAGACAGAGTCGGCTGAATATGCAAACAATCCTATGTGCGCCACAGCATGTACAATCCAGGTCTTTGTCAGCATGATGGAGTACGCTCCGTCCTGTTTGTTTTCCTTCCCTGGTGTTACCATACACACCCTTTCCATATGAGCTTTATCAAATGCTGAACCTGAATCAGCCTTTTCAAGACAGAGGCTGATTTCTGCCTGGCTAACGTCTGTCCACCAGCTGCGTTATTTATTTTGTTCAAAAATCACAGCCGATCATAAAATGTAGCATAAAATCCATGGCTGTCATTAAAAAGAAAAGCACCAAAAGGCTTTTCCGTGTTTGATTTCTGATGCCACTAAGGCACCGGGTTCTTTAACAGCGTTTTCACTTGCACGAGCAGCCCTGCTGGGACACAGCCCGTTGCGACTGGAGCGCAATTGCTTTTGCACTTCGAGGAAGCGTGTTTGGGATGCTGCCTGCCTGCCTGCCTGCCCCCCTGCACGGCTTCACACCACGGGGACACGCATAGTGTGTGGGCATTGGCCAGTCCCCCCCTTGCATCGCCCCGGACAGACGGTGGGAAGGACGGCGGGGCAAAGGTGCAAAGCACTTTCGCAGCTTGGGGCTGCGGCACCGGCAGGGCCCCAGGCCGGGCAGACAATAGCTCTCTCCCCGTTCTCTCCCTCCTGGCCGCATCCGTCGTCCCCAAGACGGTGGAGTCTCATGAATCAAGTCAAACACCCAGCGACAGGCTGGAGAAAACGATTAATATGCACGCGC